AAAGTTCTACCCACCTTTCCTAAATATTATCATCAGCTGGGGATCCAGTATCCAAATGCAGGTCAGGGGGGCTGGGGTTGGAGGATGAGTGAAGGAGCATTTCAGATTCAAGCCCCAATTCTAACTCAATTTGATTTATCTAAGTCTTCTGTCATTTTCCATGAACAGGATATCCATCCAGAAAATCAGATGTGTGCTCCAAATTAGACCCAGGAGGACCATGGACAATAGAAGATGAAATCCACAATCTATTCTGTCCAGGTGAGTGAGAGCCAGCAGAATCATGTTCTGAATACACCATGGGGCAATAAAGCTGCCAGTGGTTTGAAGACACAAAACCAACCTTTCTGCTGGTCTGAGGATGTAGAGGGTGCCTCTCCACGTCTCTCCTTGCCCATGTCACAGCTCTTTTTCCAATTGGAAAGTGAAGGATGCATACCCGGGTTTTCTCTTGGATCTCATTGTAGATTGTACACATCCTAGCTTTGTTTTGTTGTTTGTATTCTTCTAAGAATTGCAAGTCATGTTTATCTAGTCACTGTGTCTCTGTCTGTGTTCTGTTCCCCCTTGCTGTGAAATTCCTCTTTCCTGGCCCCTGGGGAAAAAATAACAAACAGCACTGTGGCCCCATCACAGCTGATTTCTACAGCTGTCCTTTCTGCTATGGAATAGTGGTCAGTATTCATAGCATCCCACTGTCTGTTGGTTGCTGCACTCTCTGTAATTTCTTGGTCACTCACTGAGCATTTCTGTGTCTTTAGCTTTATGTTTTCTAATTAAATTTTATTTTTATGATTACAGCAAAACTTTATAATGTTAATTTTCTCTTTCCACCTTTACATGGGTTCTGATGATTGCCCAGATACACTGTTGGGTGGCAATTCCTTTACCTGCTATAGTGTTTTGAATCAGAATGCCTCCTATAGGCTCCGATAGCCAGTTAGTTTGGGGAAATGTAGAAGGTGCTGCTGTGTTGAAGGAAGTAAGTCACTGGGGTCAGGCTTTGAGAGTTTACAGCCTCAATCACTTTCAGCTGCCTTTCTCTGTTTCTAGCTTGTGTTTGAGGGTGTTAACTCTTAGTGTCCTGCTCTTGCCTTTATGCTTTGTTGCATGATAAATAAAAGTTTCAGAGACAGATATTGGAGTTCGAACTTCAAACTGAAGAAAAGCAAAGTAGCTGGTCACTAGTTTTTACCTCTAGATCAGGCTGAAAGATGATCCAGGCTCCACCAAACCTCAGACTGCAATCCCAGACTGCTATACCCTCCTCAATATGGCTGGAGAATCCTGTGACTCAATTTCTTCCTATCTTCAATGTGGTTGGAGAATGAATGCCAGCTCTGGCATTCTGTTCCTGTCTTAAATACCTCTTGGGATTAAACCTGTGTGATCCTAAGTGCTAGGATCATCTTTGTTCAGCTGTTTCCCTTTAGGACTGGATCAATTTCATGTAGATCAGTGTGGCCTTGAACCAACAGAGATCCATCTCCCTCTTAATCCTGAGACCTGGGCTTAAAGGTGTGTGCCTGGACTATGTCTTGTGGCTGGCTTTGCTTTGTGAATCCTCGGGAAGAATGAATCTTAATTTGTGTCACCACAAGGCTTATTGCTGGCTGCCCTGCTTTCCTGCCATGTGGACTCTTATGCCTCTCAGCCATAATCCTAAATAAACTTCCTTCTTATAAATTGTTTCTTGCCGTGGGATTTTACCAGAGCAACAGAAAAGGCACCAATAGACCCTCTTGCTAGCTCTTTTTCATTCTTCTTCTCTGTTCTATTAACTCTTAAGAATCTCCTCTATTTTCTCTTTATTCTCCCAATGAGCTTCTTCCTGTTCTCTGGAAAACCTTCCAAGTTGACATCTTCCTTAAAGTCCAATTTATAATTTTTTCCCTGCATTTTATACATTGTTTTGGCAACTGGTTTATAACTTCTATTTTTTATATAAGCAATGAGAATCATACTTTCACCAAGAAAAATATTTTTGATTAGCTCTGTTTTATTAATGTCTCTTGACATGAGGAGATCTCACTATGTTTCCAGGATGGTCCTGGGACTTAGGGGATATTCCCACCTCAGTCTTGAGAGTCCTTGTATTTGCTGAGTGTTTCACCCAGTGATGATCTTGACGAGATACTTACAGACTACCATGCTGATTAAGCCAGTTAACTGTTTTAAGTCCTTTTCATGGGTGGTCATACCAAGAGTCTCTAAAAAGTCCCCAAATTCAGGGATACAGATGTTTTAAAGGCAAACAAATAATATGTCAAAATTAGATGAGGGTCATAGTAATCTTGAAATATCCATCCCTGGCAGAGCATAGTAGTTGGTTTAGACATAACTTGTGGGTTATTTTGGCTAATATATCAGAATCAAGGTCAAAGCAATGCAAATTTCAGATGTGTTGCAAAGTTAAGTGACTGTTGTAGGGAAGGATCTAAAATACTGAGAACTATGTAAGAAAACACAAAATGGAATCAGAACAGGGTGGCATTACCTTAGTCATTTCACAAACCTGATTTGATTATCCCCATTTAACTCATCTGTTCTCAAATTACCTTGAATTTATATGCTGAGCTTTCTTCTTTTCATTTTTTAATGTATTTGTTTCTTTGTTTTTTGCCAAGGTCCCCATTTAGTTCAGGCTGGCCTCAAACTTAGTTTTATTGAGCCAGACCCCTCCATGCAGGGATTACAGGGGTGCATCACCATAATCTGTTCTGAGCTCACTTTTTATAGTTCTCCACATTTTTCTTTTAGTTACAGAAGATTAATAACTTCTTGCATTTCTAGACCAAAGCAGGTCAGAACTTACACTTCTGCTAAAATTTACTTTCTTCTTAGTTTTGCTGTCAACAATTTTTATGGTTCATGTTCAATGCTGCTACACTCTTCATGTTTGTAATATTTTTCCTTTCTCGTTTTGCAAATCAATTTTCTTTTCACTACATTGTTTACCTACAGTCCATATGACTTATGAGTCACTCATTTAAAACCTACAGTTCATTTGACTGTTTTTAGTATGATCAGCTACTTACATAATTATCATTTACTAATTGTATATAATTGTGAAACAGTTTTCAATACACAAATACATATTTTGAAAGAACTTAATTTAAAATGTGTTTTATTTTCTGTGTATGAGCATTTTGCCTGCATGTATGTATCTGTACCATGTAATTATCTGGTGCCCACAAGACATGAAATGAATTTACAGGTGGTGCTTAGCTGCCCTGTGGGTGCTGAGAGCTGATCCCAGGTCCTCTGCAAATGGTTCCAGTATTCTTAACCATGGAGAGAACTTTCCAGCCCCTCTTTCTTTCCTTTTGATTCTATAATTAATGTAAGTTTCTTCAGTTGCAGTTTCAGGTGATTCGTGGTAGAATATAGAAGTACACTGTTTTCCAATTGTATTCCAGTGACACCGTTTCCCAAGTAATTGTATTCCCTGTAGCTCCTTGATTCGGTGCCTCTCAGTAAGTTGACAGTTGAAATGGGTAGCTCCGCTGTGTGGCACAAAGCCATGTCTGGCTGGAGTATAGTAAGCAAAAGAAAAGTGACTATTGATACGGGTAGTCTAAGGTAATATCCAGAAAGCCAGGGTCATGGGTTGCATATTCAAGGCCTGATTTTATTCCAAGTAAATTTTGAAAGAGATGAGGAGTTTACACTTAGAGGAACGGTATATCACTATTTTTTAAAATGATTTTTTCCTGTTTCTTTAGCCTTGTGTTTTTAATGAAAATTTATTTATTATGGTATTTGTTCCTGCATAGGCACATGTGGACATTCTAAAACAATTTTCTACTGTGGGGCAGAGGAGGAAACACTTATATTCATGGTTACAATCTGTGGCAGTAAAATGGTACAAATTAAAATCATTATGAATAAAACCAAGGTAGACCCATGCTGTCCTGTCAATCACAGAGCACTTGCTTAGGATGTATAAGGCCTTGTCTAGGTTAGTTTCTCAGTACTGTAAGGAGTAGTCGAAAGTTAAAAAAAAAAACTATATAGAAAATAGTTGATCTTTTTACATTGCTTTTTAAAATAGAGCAATATTTTTATCTTCCTTTGTATTTTAATATTTTTTACCAATGTGAAAAAGATAAATAACCAGCCCCACACAAATACAGTTTTTTCTGTTAATAGTTGTCATTAAAGAGCCTCTTATGAAGATTTTTTTAAATTTGTATGTATGCATGTGTCTGTTTGTATGTCTTTTGTGTCTATATGTGGGTATATGATCATGACTGCTGGTCCACAAATAGGCCAGAAGATGGTATCTGTTCCTCTGACGCTGCAATTAAAGATGGTTGTGAGACTCTTTACATGGATGCTTGGTATTGAACTCAGATTTTCTGGAAGAGCTGTGTGTCCTTTCAAACCTCTAAGCCATCTCTCCAGCTTACCAACCCATTTCTTAACAATCTTATTGTAAGGAAAGATGGTGAAATTATTTACTATTCTGTTCTCTTCTAGAAATCAGAGAAATTGTTGAGCATCTGCAACATCACTTGAAAGATAGAATTATTCGCATGAGCATTGAACAATGCTACAAACATAGAAAGTTCAGAAATGTTTTTAATCGGAGCAAAGACTACTCACCATTAAAACAAAATCCCAGTGTGTTTGACTTCTGTGAAAAATCTTTGAACTCAGATTTAAGTTTTGAAAATCAGAGCAGAAACTGTGATATAAAGAACTCTGCTGAGCTGAGTGGCAGTGGTCAATCCCTTCATGAGCATCAGAAAACTCTTATGTGAGAGAAGCATTATACATGTACTGAATGTGAAATAGCTTTCACTAGAAAGTATCTACTCATTTATCATCAACGAACTCACACAGGAGAGAAACCACATGGATGTGCTGTATGAAGGAAAGCTTTCTCTACAAAGTCTAGTCTCACTGCCCATCAGAAAATTCATATGGGAGACAAACCTTACATTTGTAGTGAATGTGGAAAAGGCTTTATTGAGAAGAGGCGTCTTGTTGGACATCATAGAACTCATACCGGTGAGAAACCCTTCATATGCAGTAAGTGTGGGAAAGGTTTCACATTAAAAGATAGTCTGATCACACATCAGCAGATACATTCTGAAGAGAAACCATTTGTATGCACTTATTGCCAAAAAAAGTTTGTCATGAAGAGTGATCTAATTGCACATCAGCGACTCACACTGGGGAGAAACCTTACACATGCAATGAGTGTGGAAAAAGCTTTTCCTCGAAAAGTCACCTGGTCATCCATCATCGAATTCACACAGGAGAAAAACCTTATGTATGCAATGAATGTGGAAAAGGCTTTCCGACAAAGGTACAACTTATAATACATCAACAAACTCATACTGGAGATAAACCATACACATGCCATGACTGTGGAAAAGGCTCTGCCTTAAAGAACCGCCTCATTGTACATCAGCGAACTCACACAGGAGAGAAACCATATGTATGCAACGAATGTGGAAAAGGATTTCTGACAAAGACACGGCTGATAATACATCAACGGACTCATACGGGAGCAAAACCTTATAAATGCAACAGATGTGGGAAGGGCTTTCCTGAGAAGAGTCAACTCAACGTGCATCAACGTACTCACACAGGAGAGAAACCCTATGTATGCAGTCAATGTGGTAAAGGCTTAAGTGAGAAAAAGATGCTCATTGCACATCAGCGAGCTCATAATGGGGAAAAGCCGTATCTATGCAATGAGTGTGGGAATTGCTTCATGATGAAAAGTACACTAAGTATACACCAGCAAACTCATATTGGGGAGAAGCCATACAAATGTAACGAGTGCAGTAAAGTCTTTGAGAAAAAGACCCGGCTTATGGTACATCAGAGATCTCACTCAGGAAAGACCTCCTTTGCGTGTTCCGAATGTGGAAAATGCTTCTTGCACAAAAATGATCTGATTACCCATCAGCGAATTCACACAGGAGAAAAACCATATGAGTGCAATGAGTGCGGAAAAGCCTTCACTACAAAGTCTTGGCTCAATGTTCATCAAAGAACACATACAGGAGAGAGGCCTTATGGATGTTGTGATTGTGAGAAAGCCTTTACACACTTATCAACCCTTGTTAAGCACAAGAGAATTCATTGTTAGTCAACAGGCCCCTTGTCACATGCACTTCAGTATTAGTATCAGCAAAGAATATCAATACCTTGGGAATTTATATTGGCTGCTTTAGAAATAAATTATATTTTAAGTCAGAGGACTAGTGAAATGACTGATGTAATTAGTATCAAGGGATGTTTTCACAACATTGTAATCTTAGAAAGTATATGGTGAAAACATTTCCATGAATGTGACAGGCTAACCAAGTCTTTAGTAGTGAGAAAGGCATTGTCATGTGATCATAGATTTGAAGCAACTACCAATTAACAAAAAATCTAGTTTTGAGAAAGTATTACCTTGCAAATTAATTCCTCAATTGATTTAGACCTCAGACTAATTCAATACTTTCCTCTATCAGGGCTTGAAGTAATATATTGCTTCATCTTTTATCAGAAAATCTGTAAGCACTTAGGACCACTGGAAGATATAGCATAGTGGTAAACATTTAGCCAGTGTGTAGGAAGTCCAAAATTCAATCCCTGGTAGCTGAAACAATAAGAAACAGATCTTCTATGAACATATTTAATGTGGATGACATAGCAAGGTGTTGGAGATACTAATGAATAAAGGAAGGCTTGAGAAAAATGACAAATAGTTTAGGAGGTAAAGGGACAGAAAGGTGGCTTAATGTTTAAGAGCACTTGCTACTCTTCCAGTGAATCCAATTTGAGTTCCAGCACCCCCATCAGGAAGCTAATAGCTTATATTAGTATATTTTTCTCAGTATCCCAGTCTGTACTTAAAATAGTGGACTGTCAGAGTTTGGAATATCTATTTTTATGATATTCTGGCTTTAAATATGTCTGTTGAAGAATTGGACATTAGTCTGATGGCCCTGCCTTTACCAGTAACTCAACATTCCTGTCATGGATCTGTCAATACTCTTCTTTTCATTTGTATTTTTAGTGTTGTAAGTATATACCCAGTGGAGTTTCTTTAATTTTCTTATCTATTTGGTATTCTTTAGGTCTCTGTATGTAGTCTCCTTTAAAATAGGGAAATTTTCTTATATGTTTTCATTAATAATTTTACCATGCCTTTTGTGTAGTGGTGTCCTTAAATTAGCATAATTTGAAAATGTGGTCTTTTTACGGTGTTCCAGAGCTCTTCCATATCCTCTTCATATTTTCTTAAAATTCACCATTAATCTTTTTTTTGAAAGATCAATTGTTTTTCTAACTCATTTTCCTGCCCTGAGACTCTGTTTTCTTCATAATCCATTCTGTTGCAGAAACTGTTCACTGGGATTTACCTTGGGCTTGGGCATTTTTTTCATTTCTATAATCATTCAGATAGTTGTCTCTAAAATTGTATTCATGTCTTCTTTCAGTTGCTTGTACATAGTTAAATTTATTGTTCTAAATCTTTTCTTTGGTTGTTGTTTCTGTTATAAAACTTTTGCATCTGGTCTTAATTTAAGTTTACGTCCTTTCTATTGAAGATTTTAAAAACATAATCTAATCATTTCTTTTGATGTGGAAGAGTTTGTAATGTTTAGAAAAAGGAATAACTTGTGGTGGATTTTGGATTTTCTTCAATAGAAAGTATAGGATTTACCATTTGATATATAGATCACAGTGTTTCAATCTCTGCCATCTTCTTCCTGTCTGTCTGCACAGACAACCAAACATCTATGGTTAGCTAGAGGCAAGCTCTATTCTCTGACATTCAGACAGACTTTACTTGTACAAGCAAGATATCACCACAATTTGAACTGTAATTATTTCTCATTTGATAGTAGCAACTACCCTAGCATAATTCTATACCATAATTTCCAGTTAAATTGCATTATGTTGTAAATGGGATGCCATGAGTTTCAGTACACATTATGAGTTCATAGATTTCTATTATAGATATTTCTTAGAGTGCACTAAATTCCTAATAGGCCCTACTCTGCCATCTGGTTACTCTAAAATAAAATGACTTAAGGTTTTGAAAATTAATAATTAGGTTGATTTGGGATAGAATTCCATGAGATATTATGTGTAGTGAGATAAACAGACCTCTCTGCAAATACTTTGTTCAATTTCCACAGGAGGTGACATATGCCTACTTGGATAAGGAAAAAGTAAGAGCCTCCCGAAGTACTTCTTTACTTTGAAGACAATCTCAAGGAACTCATTAGAGTCTTTGGTAATTTTTCACTTGGAAAACAATTCAGAAAACTTCTTTGCTCCCAAAGCCAATGTTGTCATTACAACTGCATTTGAAAAGAAGATTGCAGTCCTGAAGGGAGGTGAGGTCACAGAACCATAGAATCTTATTTCTGTATTGATATTCCTCCTCCCCACACATCTCTGTCTTATGTGATGTCAGATCTACATTCTGATCTCACTCTCCTGAAGATACAAATATTTGGGTGGGTTTTTGCATTTCACTCTGAGAGACTGACCAAGACTGTGAGGAATCTGAGTAAGTACTAATGCCTAAAAGGGGATACTGGTTGAGAACATGTGTGTTGAAAATTCAGATTAAGTAGAAGAAATTTTTTCTTGGATATAAGCTGAGTTCCTAAAGAGAAAAGTTTACTGCCTATTCCAGTCTGTGATATAGAGAAAATAATGCCATAGAATCATCTCTGAGTATTATTATTGATTATCATTCCATCATTCCAAATAATAATGAAATCCAATTTTGATGGTATATAAGAATTGAGGCAATTATGCTATTCATAGTTCCATCTTCAGATGTAATTTTTAACTGGGAAAACAAACTGTGCACAGGCTGAATGTTTGAAGCTGTGTCTTACATAAAAGTTTGAGCACACTCTTACATGACTGTCATTGCCTCAGCCTAGAAATGTTCATGTTTCTCAGGTCTCCACAGTCTCCAGAGTATCTTACTTATCTTTTTAGACAGAAGCATCTGCTATGATCTTATTTTGGTAATGAAGGTAATACTATTTCATACAATAGGCTTTTATGCAAACTACAAAATGTCTAAGAGAAACGAGTATTCTAAATGTGATAATTAGACTCCTACTTCAAGTTTAAGTTTTTAATTTAATTCTAGCTTTAAGGATGATGACTTTGTCAAGGTTATTTTTTTTATCAATAGTTAATGTAGATAAACAGAGCACTTTTGATATATGTCAACATAATTTCTTTGAGTCTGTATTAGTTTAATATAGTGACGTGCAATCAAGACAGTTCACAAGAAATCCTGATCACTACTCCAATCCAAAAAATCTCTGTGAGAGAATGCTCATGTTGACATATATCTTATGTACTTTATTTCCATCTACATTCAAAGCAACTATTCCCATCACATTGATGAATCATAGAGAGACACTTCTGTCAGGAAACTTCTTAACACATTGAAACCTTTGGTAAGTACCCATCATAATAATATTTGATTTCAATTGATGTGCATGCTATGGTTCAGGACCAATAGCTCTGAAAAGTAATGTCAGTCACTGCAAATTGGTAGAGTGAAACTAGGGGCTGGGCAATAGGTATGGTCCATATGACTCAAAATATAATGGAGATTAAGGAGTTTTAGATCTTCTTTTCTATTAAAAAAACAAAGATGAATTTTTAAAAACAATATAGTGATTCTGCTTCTCCCTTCCTCAATTCCTTTCATTCCCTCACCACTTTCCGACTCAACCAAATCCACCGGCTTTCTTTCTGTCTCTCACTAGAATACAAAATCATCTTAAAAATAATACAACACAAGAACAAGCAAACAATATTAAGACAAAACAGAAAAAACAGACAAAAAATAATTTGATGAAATACATAAAGATGCAGAAACACCCATATTTGCTCACACAGAAATACCATAAAAATATAAAATAGGAAACCGGAACTTATACTCAAAAGACCTGTAAGTATATTTTGCTTCTCTACACTGAATGTGAGTTGAAATTTCTTATACTAAGTTCTCAAACCCTGAGTGTATTTTTCCTGGGTGTTTTCTTTTCACATTTCTGAGTCCTGTACTGTGTTCAGTCCACAGAATTTTCTACTGATTGAGCATTGTTCTCCTGTCCTCACGGATTTGGTATGATAGACTAATCAATACCATCTTTCTGAATGCGTGCATTTATTTTAGTAAGCCCAGGTTCAGCTTAGGGACATTTAGAAGCTGTAAAGAATGCTGTGCTCAAAATATCTCCCATATAGTCTCTGTATCTTAGTGAATGCCACTCCTGTAATATTTCTTTATTTAATGGGGTGAAAAATACCACAAAATTTAAGTACTTCAAAAAGTTAGAAAGTTAATAAACATGATAGCTTTACCATTACTGTTCATGTTTGTTTCATGTGTGGGCTCCTGAAGAGAATCTGTGACTCGCTGGCATTTATCTCTAGAGACACTAGCAGCTCTTCACACACATTCAGTGAATCTTTCCAACAACTCACATATTTTCGTAGTATTTACTTTTAAAAATAATTACGAATTGAGTACACTTATGTGTGTGATGAAGAAAGAGAAAAAGAAATTATGGAGAATAGACAAGCTTTCATAAAGAATTTGGTGAATCAGTAATTTGAATATTAATGTTTTATAAATTACATATCATATTTTATATATTATTTGATGCATTTAATATTATATATATTTATTATATAGATTAAAATTTTTGTGTATGAGTAGAGATATTCAATTTGTCAAATATTTATGTTTTAAATTGAGATGAGAAGTACTCTCAGAAAGAATTTCTGCCCTTGTGAAGATGGTGATCGAATTCTTAGTCTTCAACATCAGTGGAAAATTGCAGTTTTTGCCAGAATTGTGGAATTGAGCATTTGCTCAATTGATCTTTGCTTCTTCTAGGATAACAGTACCATTTTGTTATTCATAAAATTAGAAACAGATACACTAGGAAATTTCTGACCATATATGTACGTTAAGACTTCAACAATTTCAATGAAAGTTAGCATTATTTAAATTAATTTTTCTTTGTGTCTAAATCTTGTTATGCTGCACACACTATGTTTGCAATCTTAAACTGAATTGGTTTTTACACTAGAAGTGCCCAT